ATTCTGTGACATGTTGGTTATTGAATATGGAAGGTGAGTAACTATGCGATTTAACATAGATGCGTCTGTTTAGCTGATTAGTCGAAATCTATCTATGGCGCAATTGTGCTTATACCTTTGACTAAGCTAGAACTTGTAATATGCTAGTGTGGATTTCATGATTCGTCTGAATCATGTCCCTAACACCAAATAAGCCTGCAGCTCCTTGGATGCCTGAAAAGATTATGGCAATGGTTGATTCTTGTTATGACATGGATTGTTCTTCTGTTCTTGGTCCAATATATCTTGATTTGGATGGACTGTGGACAGATTTTATGTCTGTTTTCATGGTGGTTAAGTAGTTATGTTGAATTGGTTTAGTCAAATCTCCTCGGGTTCTTGCAAGTAAGAATTAAGACAGCTTGGAGTTCTTTTAAATGCAGCTTGCCTTGAACAAAAGAAAAACTGAGGCTGCTGCTGCTTACTAGCTTCTGTGAGAACGATCTTTGTGCTGCTGTTTTATTATGCTGTGTTTCTTTGCTCCTGAACATATGATTTGTTGCTTGGTCTGCCTTCAAATTTGTTGCCTGGTTTTCAAATCTTCTAGCACATGACATCTCATATTTAGCTTTCTTTGCTTGATTTTGACTTCAACATTTATCTGCGCAGACAACATTTGCACATAAGAACGCTTGACCTGAATTATGAACTGTGATGTTCTTCAACAGTTGCTAAGATCATTCATTGTTATGTATGCCACTGGGTTTACCCACAGCAACCTCATGTTTTAGTGAAAGATGATGCGCTTTACTGCTGGTCACATATATCCTTGCTGGCGTAAATTCAGAGTCTTGCCTGACTGCCTGCATGGTAATAGTGTTTTATTGTGCTCCAATAGTTTTGCCTAACTGACCATCATCTTTTTTGAGACAGACCATCTTGTTTCCGTAGTGTGTTTGAAATCTGTGGATTTAATATGTTGCTGTTATGCAGCTGCATATCTGTTTGATTCTTTATTCAGGCTGTGCCGGTATAAGATTTTGATATAGCTTCGGTCCGTTGAGCCCTTCCTTTGTGCTTTTTTCAATATAATCGGTGAACCAGCCTGACAGAAGCATGTATGTATGTGACAGTTTTCATGATATTTACCTGACTATTAGTAAGATATACATATTTGATCGATGAAATCGAGCAAAGCATAACATGTACATCTACTGAAATGCAGCTGAAGTTGATCCTGGCAGTAGGTAAAAAGCTCTTATTCCAAAAGGGAAAGTTTGGCAAGCGCATTGTGTTTTTCTTGCCTTCTCTGATTGTTTCATACAAACTTAAGTAAAACATTGCCGACCTCTTTTATTGCTCTAAGCTCTATACATTCTGGGCAATTCAAAATTAAAACTGCATAGATTATGTATGCAGAAATTAAACAAGATTTAAACTCCCATGCAGAGAGGTGAACCACAACCAGAATCGCCGCCAAAATCAGAGCAAGAAAGCACTGGGCATCGGAGAGTGCAGCATATGGCCTGGCCTGGCAGGGGAACTTCCATCAGAATCAGAACATCCAAATGTCGTGTACACCAGTCCTTCAGATTCTCCAGTACTCAAACTCGGTCTCCTCGGCACCACTAAAGAAGCGAGAATGATCAGAGTCCTCGGAGTCACAAGGCTCCACATTGAAAAACCAACAGTCGGGCTCTTCACCATTGCTGCGATACCACCAATAACTCTCCTGATGAGAATAACATCTACCAACAGGGCTGCCAGGCTCAAAATACTTGGAAGAATCATCGCTGAAGTCATCATGCATGCCAGACTGAGAACGCACCCAGTCATCAGTTGGCGCATATGGATTCACCTTCTTCGTCTTGACACGGGCACACTTTGCTCGCATGCTGCTGTTCATGATTATGTTGCCGCAATAGCGTATGTCAAGGACTCCAGGTGAGGGCAGCCCCCAAGGATGGCTGTCAACCCTTGGTTGTCGAGGCCACTGTGGAAAATCTTCAGGGACCGTAGCTCATGCATCCTTGCAATTGCCAGGGCTTCGCGGTTGTCGACAGGGTATATATCCCGTTCCAAATTATACCATGTATATCCTCTATCGTTGAAATGTTTGAGGTGCTTCAGTAGTGGACAAGCCGCGGCAACAACCTCAAAGACCCATGTGTCATATCTCTCACATTCACAAAGCTCGAGCTCCTCCAACAGAGGGAATTTCTTTATTGCCTCTGTCAATCCTTTGCTGGTTACATTACAGCACTTGGTAAGATGAAGGCTCTTCAGTAAGGGTGCCCTGCAAGGGTAACACATGATCTTAGTGGCTAGTAACATGTGTTCTCTAAAATCTCTCCTTTTGGTTATTCACGAAAGGAAGAAGGGAAACATTCAGACGATAAAAGAGAACATGTCATCACTGTTCCAGAATTTCATCTGTTTAAAGTTCGTTCTTGAGTACTACAAACCTTTTTTGTTGCGGGAGAGTACTACAAGCCTTGAGATACTCTTTTCTGAGTATGCAAGAGAGTTTTTATGTTGCAAATGTTTCTCATAATCACTGCTGCAATTTGCCACAAGATTAGCAGCGCTCAGTCTCTAGTTCTTTTTTGAGGGAAAGCTGAGTCCAATCTGTATACCGATTATACAAAATATTCCTATCTACAGCAATTTACTTTGTTCAGCAGTTTCGCCCCAAATTTCTGGGAATTCTAACTCGCTATGACACACATGACTTAAATACATAAAACCGGAGAAACGTTTTTGTCATTAGACAATGTCGAGATGTTGTGTAAGGCTGTAAGCACAGTTCAAGTCTTTTTTGTTCCTTCTCCTATCTGGCGCTGAGAATTTTTTTACTGCATAGACACCAGGCAATGTATAGAATTTCAAAATACATTTTGTACCAAATCAAGGAAGGACAGGTGCGAGTTTGGGGATCACGAACAGGGACGGATCTTACCGGTCGGCCAGGAAGAAGAGGAGGTCGTTGTCGAGGTCCTGCTGGCCGAAGAATTCTCGGCATTGCCCGGCGCTGAACCAAATGGAGAGCTGCGTCACTTTGTTGAGGCTGACCGTCTCCTGGAAGCGCCGGGAGCGGTCGCGCATGTCGACGCGGCGCCACAGCTCGGGCTCGCACACAGCGTCGTGCCAGGAGCGGCACACCCTGGCCGCGCCGCCGAACATGAGCTCGACGTCGTCCAGCTTGTGGAGGACATAGAGCATCACGTCCAGGGGCAGCTCTGCCCAGTTCCTCATCTTTGATCGTCGCCTCCGTCGGCTGCCCAGTCTCCGCCTCCCGCGCCCCGGAGGCGCCGTCGGCGGCGGCGGAGGCGGTAGCAGTGGCATCGTGATGTGGGTGGAGCTGTGGCGTTAACCTTGCGAAGATTATGGATCGGTTGCAGCGGTGGTACGTACGTAGCCAGGTCTCGGGGCGCTTCTCACGTGTATCTCTGTTTTCTTTTCTTTCTTTCATTATCATTACTTAAATTAAGTATTGAAGTCCTTTGAGAAATTAAAGAAGATGGCCGTGCGCTTGATATGGACCAAAGATTCAAAAATTGACTTCTGAGCACGTGTGCAACTGATCACTTTCTTTTGAAGTTCAAAAAACCACATTTTTACGGTTCCATCAAATTTTTATGTGCATAAACGTATAGCAATGCAGTATATCAGGCCAAAATTTCAGCAATGTACATGCTTGCATGTAAAAGATACAAAAAAGACAAAATACATGAAAATTAGGGGCTTGTTTTTTTGGTGTTTTTGGGCATTTTTTTTCTTTTTTGTGCAGCACGTAATACAACGTATTATTGAACGAAATTTCATGGGTACTTAGACCACATGCATGCGCATTCATGTAAAAAAATCAAAAAAATTCAAATCTTTTAAGCATCCTTTTGGAGAAGTTCAAAACAAAGTGCTCCGTTGCCCCATGTTCTGAAAATCCGTTTTACCAAAGATTATCTTATATTCATATATGCATGTCTGCATCTTGCTCGACTTGATGAGCCATTGTTGACTTCAATGATACTTGTTCAACATTTACCTTGTGATCATGGGCAACAATTGATCATAGCTCTGAGAACGCCCCAACAAAGGAGGGGGAGGGGCGGGTATGCATTTTGTTGGTTTCAGTTGCCTTATTCTTCATCTGCCTGTGAATTTGGTGTTGCATTTTAAATCTTCTAGCACGTGCCATTTCACATTCATCTTTATTCTCTCGATCATTACTCGTGTATAGCCTTGGCTTGGGCATTTCCCAGCTCAAAAGGGGAACCCATCTGACCACATGTAAAACCAGCCATAGTTAGTCTTCGAGGCGGAGTGAAAGAAGGGTGGAGACTCTCGAACGAGGAGAAGTATCCCTTCAAAAGAATTGTCCGAGAAGCATAGTTTCGGAAGGCTCCGTCGGCGATCTCCATGGGCGCCTGATGCATGTAGATTGCTGGATCAGATGGGACTTGGTCGTGTGAACTGATATTTCTGGTCGTGCGGCTTCAAGAGCGAGTGACGCGAAGCTTCGCTGTCTGTGGACATGTCGGTGTTTTGATTTCCATGGTGAATATAGTGGTGGAGAATGTCATGGCGGCTAAGGTCTAGTAACGGCGGACTGACTTGGTGCTTCCTAACTTGTAGCAGAGGCATCGGCAAGTGGGGCGGCAACACAAGAAGATTTTGTCCTTAACTAATAGTATATGATGCAAATCTTTTGCCTCAATTTCAAAAATAGGAAAGTTGGGCAAACACACCGTGTTTTTCTTGCATCCTCTATTGTTTCATGCAAACTCAAGTGAAACATCACCGACCTCTTTTATTGCTCTGAGCTCTATACACTCCGTGAAATTTAAAATTGAAACTACATATAATTTGAATCTAAAAAATTTCAAAAAAAAATCTAACTTCATGCAGAGAGGCGAACCACAAACATAATTGTGGCCAAATCAGAGCAAGAAAGTACTGGACATCAATGAGTGCAACATCTGGCCAGGTCAGGCGCTTCCATCAAAACATTCAAATGTTACTTAGGTTCTCCAATACTCAAACTCGCTCTCCTCAGCACCACTAAAGAAGCGAGAATGATCAGAGTCCTCAGAGTCAGAAGGCTCCGCATTGAAAAAACGACAGTCTGGCTCATCATCGTCGCAATAGCACCAATACCCCCTATCCCATGGACGATAACAACTACAAACAGTGATGCTAGGCTCAAAATACTCAGAATCAATGGTGAAGTCATCATGGATGTCAGACCAAGGACACTCCCAGTTATCAGTTGGCCCATATGGATACAATTTCTTCTTCTTAACACGGGCACACTTTGCTCGCATGTTGCTGTCCATGGTGATGTTGTTGCAATACCGTATGTCAAGGTACTCCAGATGAGGGCAGCCATCAAGGATGGCTGTCAATCCTTGGTTGTCAAGGCCACCGTGGAAAAGCTTTAGGGAGCGTAGCTCATGCATCTTTGCAATTGCCAAGGCTTCGCTGTTATCGATAGGGTATTCAAGCCAGATATATCGCGAATATCCCCTATCTTTGACATGTTTTAAGTGCTTCAGTTGTGGACAAGCCATGGCAACAAGGTCAAAGACCCCAGTCTCATGTGTCTCACATTCCCAAAGCTCGAGCTCATCCAACAAAGGGAATTTCATTATTGCCTTTGCAAATGTTTCACTGGTTACATCACAATGCTTGATAAGATGAAGACTCTTCAATAAGGGTGCCCTGCAAGGATAATACATGATCTTAGCGGGTCATAACATGTATTTTCCACCTGTTCAAAATCTCTCATTTTGGTTATTCACAAAAGAAAGAAGAGAAACATTCAAACGACAAAAGATGACACTTTATCGCTGCTACAAAATTTCATTTGTGTAACATTCATTCTTAGGAAGTACAACAAGCCTTGACACACACCCTTTTGAGTCTGCGAGATAGTTTTATGTTGTAATTGTTGTTGAATTTAGATGGGCTTCATGCCCATATACCAAATATTTCCGGAATAAATCTTGAAAGTCTATGTGGTGTTTCATGTCATGCTGGAAAGTTTAGCACCACCACAGAAGTGGAGGAGAGTTGAGATTAACATATAAGAAACTCCATATATCCTATTGGAGCATGAAAAGAGAAGTGTTACATGCACGCTCCTCCTCTTTCGCCCACTTCGCTCTCGTTAGATGTATGTCGTTTGTGTGTTTTATTTTTACCGGTTGAAAACGGGTAATTAACATATGCATTACGAACAACTGTATCCGAACCTCTCGGATTGTGGGCTGTTACCGACTCGGTTGTAGGCCTAACCCCTCATCTCCCTACCCGACCATCTACATATTGAAGGTGTTGTCAACCCTAATTGTTACCTAATCGGTTCACATATGTTCTACCTCCTCGTGCACCAAATCACCGTCGTTCCTTGTGCTCTTGTTGCTTTCGACAACTCCATCCCGATGACCGCGTGCACAGTTGTTTGGGAGAGAAGCCTCCGGAACCCTGTCCTTTGTGATCCTCCACCGAAAAAACAAGGTTTTTTGGGAAGAGTCTCGGTGCGGTTGCTTGGTACTGTTCATCTTCGTCCACTAATTTGATTACGTCCTCGACCTCCCCAACATCGCCATGGATGGCGTGACCGATGCCATGAAGAAGGCTACCTATGCCAACGTTGCGGCCGCTGTTGCGGACCCTACTTTTCTGATTGAAGGGTATAATATGTTTATCCATCTGTTACTGATTCATGTGTTGGCCGCACTTGATGTTATCATAGATTTACGTATAATATATTCAGTACATGCTCACATGTTTATAGCTTTCAATATGAGATTGATTTTGTTGGCGTTGTCATCATGATGTATTTATGAATTAAACTAATCCAAAAATTGCTAATTTATCCAAAGTTCTTTCTCATAATTCACTACTGTAACGTGCGATAAGATTGCCGGCGTTCAGTCTTTTTTGTACGTAGTTTCTTATTTTAAGGAAAACTGAGTCCAATTTGTATACCAACTGCTCCCTCCGTTCGGAATTACTTGTCACAAAAATGGATAAAAATGGATGTATCTACAACTAAAATACATCTAAATACATTTATTTCTTGAACGAGTAATTCCGAACGGAGGGAGTACAAATTGTTCCAACCCATATTTAGTTACTTTGTTCAGCAGTTATGCCCCTAATTTCTGCGAATTCTTCTAGCTCGCTATGACACATGATTTAAAACCATAAAATCAGTTGTGCCTGTGAGAAAATTATATAGACATAGGCACTGCATCGCAGTAATTTCGGAGAATTATGTATCACATTCCTAGAATGCAGGTGCGAGGTTGGAGATCACGAACAGGAATCTTACCGGTCGGCCAGGAAGAGGAGGAGGTCGTTGTCGACGTCGTGCTGGCCGAAGAACTCTCGACACTGCCCGGCGCTGAACCAAATGGAGAGCTGCGCCATATTTTTGAGGCTGACCGCCTCCCGGAAGCGCCGGGAGCGGCCGCGCATGTCGATCCGGCGCCACAGCTCGGGCTCGCACACGGCGTCGTGCCAGGAGCGGCACACCCTGGCCGGGCCGCCGAACATGAGCTCGACGTCGTCCAGCTTGTGGAGGACGTAGAGCATCACGTCCAGGGGCAGCGCTGCCCAGTTCCTCCTCTTTGATCGTCGCCTTCGTCGGCCGCTCAGCCTCCGCCTCCCGCACCCGGGAGCCGCCGTCGGCGGCGGCGGCGGCGATAGCAATGGCATCGCGATGTGGATGTGGCGTTAACCTCCCAAAGATTTGGTTTTATGGATCGAGATCGCAACGGTAGTACCCTGTGCGCTTCTCACGGGATCTATTTCTTTTCTTTCTTTTTTTCGTTATTTAAGTATTATGATAATACAGTGTATATAGTAAGCATTAAAGTCCTTTGTGAAATTAAAACTGGTACCCTAAAAAAAGAAATTAAAACTGGTGTCACGGTAAAAAAAAAGATGTCCGTGCGTTTGCTATGGACCAAAAGATACATTTAGCATTTTTCTTGGAAAAAAATACATTTAGCTGTCATATTATATTTGTTGCGAGGAAACTTCCGATCTATTCATCAAGCCATACTGGTATAAAGAACACGGAAAAAATAATACAAACTTGGGAGGAGGACACCGTGCATAGTGGAAAGAGCCCGAGGCAGGCGTAGACAGTGGCGGGAGCCTGATCCGCCACCGGATTCGTCATCACGTCAGGGGCGGCGGCTGCTCGAACCGATAGGTGCCGAGAAGCCACGCCGTCGCTCCTCCTTGTCCATCAGATGCCCCATCGCGGTTTTGGACTGAGGTGGTG